GATGTAGAGCTATTTGATTTGCAGCATCTGTTGTGTTAGAACAATCGTATACAACATATCTAACAGGCATTTCGAAGCGCAAAGTATACAAATTTCCATTGCACACAATAGATATTTATTGTAATACAACATGAGTCGATTCACTTCCATCCCCGGTGTGACATCACAAACCTGATTCGTACTCAGCCTCTTTTCTCCCGGCCATGTCTTGAAAAACCCTATTTTTTTGCATGTTCGATCTAAATTATCTCTGAAAGTATTTATCCGATCAAGGAATGATATATATAATTCGAATTGTCTAATTTTTGCTGATTTTTGGTGAACAAATGGTATTAATGTCATATGCACTTTAACAATTCTAATACATCGTTTTCAGTGACGGGCGAAATTGCAAAATTGATACTTGTTTCGAAGACATCTTTCAATCCTTGATATTCGCCAAACGAGGCGAGATATTTCGTAGGTATGTCAATAAAGTAGCGATTAAAAATCTCCGCAATGCTAGTACTGTCCGTTATCACAACTTCGTTTTCAACAACCTGAGAGATTCCGCTTTTATTTTCACCACCGTCTTTAGACAAACACTTAATAAGGTTCCAAAGCTTACTTGAATTGTTCTTGTGTTCAGAAAACTTGTCTTTAAAATAGTTTTGTTTAGCATTTCTAATCAAACTGGTAACATTGTTTTTTACTTTCTGATAAACATTCCTATCAGTTTCTAGATTGCTCTTACGGGCTTCTCTTTAATGCTTTGTCACAGCTTTTTATCTTTTGTGAGATATTGTTGGTAAACCACTTAGGCTGGACTTTACGTTTTACACGCTTTCGTTGCAATGGTAAATATTCATCGATAATGGAATTGAATATATCATACCAGGTGTCAAGTACTTTGTCAATATCCTCGAACAAAAAGGCACAATCCCATGGGGCATTTTTGAGAGCAGAAATGAATTTGCCTGTGTCTAGTTGCTTCATATTTCTGAAGTTAATGACATGATGAGAATTGTCATTTGGTTTGTTTCGTTTGTAAATCCTAGTTGCAAAAATAGGTAAATGGTCTGACATGCCAGAGTTTTTTACTTGTACATTTCTTAAACGTTCCGGGTGACTGCACCAAATATGATCCAAACAGCTTTTGGACACTTGCCTTGTGATGTCATTAACAAGTTGTGACATATTCAAATTAATCAGTGTTTTAATAAGCTTGTGTTTGCGAAAGTCCCCCTGCGAAAGTATAATCAACATTGAAATCGCCCAGCAAAATCATTTCTTTATTTAAAAGATAAACGTTCTCGATATTCTTTCCTAATTTCTTATCCCCACCCACTTTATAAGATGGAGGACAATTAACAAATAATACATCTAATATCACAAATAATACATCTAATATCACAAATGCTATAGTATGGTCTTGGCTAAGTATGTTATTATGTAAGCATCATACTTGATGTAAAGTGCATTTAATCATGTAGAACAAAATATATAATTTGACAATTGATGAATATTCATTTCCACTGATTTGTTTTATATTCCGCTTTTACGCCATCTCCTCAAACAAAGGTAAATATAAGTTGCAGGTCATTTCGAATTTGATTCTCAAAAAGGTGATCCCCAATATAAAAGAATTCCTTCACTGATCTCCATTAGCATTAACAATTCTTTTGAACCATTTGCTTCCCATAATTTGACATATTTCACTGTTGTTATTTACTGCATGAACAACTTTGCCCCTGAACTTTTTTTACAAGTCCAATATTCTTCAGGTAATTGTTGTAAATATCAGTGTCAATTCGTTCTTCTATTTGTATATGGCTAAGTTGTAAAAAAAGGCATCAGCCCTGTCTGGCAAGGAGTCGACACTTGGCTCAAGTCGCTGCATTAGAAACCCAAGCAAGATTCTTCACCTTTAGCTAATTCACTCGCATCTTTTGATTCGTCAAAATCACTAGAGTATCCAGTAAAATGAATTTTTACTTTGTTTGAGCCCTTGTCCAGGGCTGCAAATTACTGCCGGTCATTAGACAATGTCCAACCAAATTGTATCAAATCGTTGTATGACCGGACATGTGACAGATGGAATTTTACTCGTAATATATCCAATCTCAAATTTATTCTAAGCATCTTTTCTCGTTGTTTTGCAACTTATTAATAATTTAACAAATACCTGTAGTAATTAATTTATCAGAAAAGTTATATGAAATTATCGAACTTTCACTGCGTATATGTAAACGTTTATGTAGTTTTTGAAACTCTGATCCTGAATTCGTGCAATGTCAATGAAAGATGAAGTATTATTTAGCTTGCGGCGCCCGCGTTACTGAAAAACAAACATGGCGGCGAAAGAAGAACATATAAAATGTGATCTTAAAAGGTTGCAGGAAACTCTGACGAATACTACCACAAAAGACGAAGCTAAGCCGTTTTGTGATACGTTACTCAAGAAGTATTTGGATAGTTACGATCCACACGCTGCCATGTGTACTTGGGAAGAAGCAAAGAATAGACGTCCAAATCAAAGGCAAAGAAAGAAATAGAAAGAACGAAGAAAGAAAAGGCATTTCGATATGAAAGACGTTTCCAGAAGTGAGACCTCTGATGATTCTGACAATGAATTGCAATATGGGGAAAACTCAGCTGAAGAACGCATTTCTGCATTTGGCAGTATAGAGTTTATTCAGCAGCACAAGTGATAGTGAGGATGATCTATAGGCAACAGTGAACACTGCTTTAAGTTTGGTTCAAATAGTACAACTCGAGCATAAGCGTAGCAAGTTTTTACCTACCAGTTATGGAGTTATGCACCAGCTGTTCTCATTGCTCTAACTCTAAGCTACCTGTTCTGTAATTGCTTATGTTTACGTAGTTAACATCGCAGTATATCAACTAGGCAAAGGTGTTAGCCATTTTTGTTCCCTCCCCTGCTTTTCTTAACTGAGCTGGAGATTTGTAACAGTGAACAATGTAAGAATCAGAATTTAGTCCTCAGAATGCAAATTTAAAACCGCTCTGTAACATGGTAGTAATAATCTATATATTGGTGAATTTATAATGAAAGTCATGTAATAGTATAAATAGTTCATATACATACGTAAACCAAAACCATGCAAGGAAAGGATGAACACGGTTTTTGACTTTTTGCGGCTTACATAGCCGATATAGCATCTACAAAACATGCAAGAGACATTGTCCGACAAGAATTGTGAAATGTCCGAGCACTTTTTATCTTGGTGGACATTTGTCCTTACAAGAAAAATAATTATTTGCAGCCCTGCTTGTCTATGTGAATAATCTACAAATAAATAAATATATAAATAAGGAATGGATATATTTCTCTAGGAACTCAAGCATGATGTTATTATGTAATATTACTATTATTACTATTATTATAGCGTATAAAAAATTTAGATCAATTTATGTACATAAAGTTTCGCTGAAAATCCTTGTAAGGTATATGAAATAAATATACATTGATACAATATTTATTGTTTCATGTCAGATGAAAGTGCAATGAAAATTCACCCGGAAAGAAACAACCCTTGAAATTCAACTATTTTTGCCTCTGCAAATTATTGCCGAAGTCTTTTGATAATTTTCGAGTTTGCCTCGGCAATTTTGTTGCCGAGGCACACAATGAAATCACCTTAAATTCCTTCAGCACCCTTTGGCATTCACGTCGGCAGTTGTAATTAAAGTAAAGTACATACGGAAATTATTGTAAACAAATATTATAACGAGCGTAGATTCTGACGTTTGACAAATTCCTGACTCAAAATGTTTTTAAAAAGTTAGTGGTAATTAACAACCAATTGTATGAAAGAATAAACTTGACGGTAATCACTCGACAGTCTAAAAGATAAAACAAAGTTTCTCAACGTGCCGTCTTTAAACCATCAAGATTGTTCTTTATTTCAACCGAAGCCAACGCTGAAAAGCTCAAATTTAAATATTTTGTTCACCCGACGTGAATGACAACAATTTGAACAAAGAAGTGATACAAAAAACGAACACTGTAGTTTGTAAATTTAAGAGTGAAAAAATGAACAGATGCTGTAGTTTGTAATTTAAGGTAGGCTACAAAAGGTGGAATTGCCTCAGCATTTTTTTGCCGAGGCAAACTATGAAAAATCTTAACTTGCCTCAACCTCGTACCCAGGGCCTTTGCGCGGTTCAGAGGCTCTGGTACGGGAAACAAAGGCCCTGGTAAACACTGGTCATGTGACTCCAAAAATATTGGACATTACGTATAATTTAGTTTTCAATCCGGGGGGAGCGGAGCCGATTGATTTTATCAAACATGGCAGCGCGAAGGCGCGACGTTTTCGAGTTTTTATATTATTATGATAAATAAAACTTTCCTAGTGAGATTTAAGAGTGGGCATTCTACGAGCTTTCTTTCAACAAATTGTGGAATAGCTAACGGTAATACTTATCAAAGGTCGAAGGACGAAGATCAAACTGAGAGAAAACTAGTCGAGTGATCTGTCTTTAATTAAACTGTCTATTTTGTATCCAATGCAGCTGCTTGTGTGCGACGTTTTATAAAGAATTAAATAAACATTGTTGATTATAAGTAATTTTTATGTATTGACCAAAGAATATCACTTGGGATTTTATTGTACTTTTATGGAAGGATATTAAAATCAGAGGGGACATCTATGGAAACGAAATTCTTCATGTGTATTAAACATGTAGTTATCAAAGCAGAATATTTTGAAACAATTAACTGGTCGAGTGACAGGTTGGTTTCCGTATGTATGTAGTTTAAAATACAGTTGTGAATGAAATTATACATAGTATCTTGAAACCTTTGTGTGTGTGAGTTAATTTCATATTTATTTTGTGGGATGTATCATCTTTATCATGTGGGATGTATCACCTGAATCATGAGAAATATACAGTGATCTTGAAACAACAAATTTACTACAAATCTTATATCAGTGATATGTGACTTAGGAGTTTTAAAGGCAAATAACAGTCTGTATACTGGGTGTGCATTCACCTATTTGTTTACATTTGCATTCATTTGTCAGTTGCATCTTATAGTATATACTGTAATAATATCTTGAAAAAAAGCTGTAATTGTACCCTGTCTAATAGCTTTGGTTCAATACAATTGGCAACTGGGCTGTCTTAGAATTCATGAAAGACCTTTGCTACAACCCCAAGAAAACATGCCTTTTATCAGGAGATCAATTAAATTCTCTGCTTCAACCAGATTAACCACACAAATGTTACTGTCACCATTGTGACTACCGACACTTTTTACAAATAATACACCGATAGTTGAGCACCGAGACTCTGACTGACATATCATACTTTGTTTTCAAATATCTTTGGCTTTGGTTAAAAACCAACAATTATACATTCTTAAACATTTTAAATACTTCAGCCTACATAATTTCCATAACGATGGTCAATTATTCCACTTACTGAGAATACTATAATTACTTCTTTACCATAAAAATTCTTTTGGGTTTAATTGAAGTATTATTCACAGCTGGTCTAAAAAATTGGGTGTTTTGATGCATCATACTTTTGTCAGTAAAATTAAAAACCTATTTAGTCCTATCCAGCTATGCAGAGTTTTATTTGTATTGAGGAGGTAGGGCTTAGAGAGACACTTAATGAATGATATGGACACTTAATGAGAGGCTTAATGAATATGGTTACACTGAATTTTATCAGTAAGTAAATTTCATTTTTTACATCCTGAAACCAAAAATCACCATACTATGCATGAATTACATATCACTTTCACTTGTCACAGAGTGAACATACCAAATTCAAACAACATAATTCACACTGTTTCTAGATGAAATAATTAACCGATTTTTTGGGCAAACAATATAATTCATGAGGGGAAAAAATAAATATTTATATGTGTGCACATAGTTTCAAGATCAGCTAACGGGATTGAAACCAGCTTTCCCAGTTATGCTTGGAGCTGATGAAAACAGTTAGTTTTGAACACAAAATGGCATGCGACTTAATTCATCTAGGTGGCAATATATTGCCTTCTCACCAGCACAATTGATCAAGTCATACACATTCATTACTGCCAATCTCTTTATTATTTATGTCTCATTACAAATACAATATATTTTCATTATCAGCAGTATCATTACAACTTGTGCATCACCAATATCATCACAACTTGTATTTCACTACCATCATCATCATTATTCTCACCATTCTAATTTTATTAGTCAATCAGAATGAATAAAAAATTTCATATTTTACACCACTCGTATATTACTTAATTGCCCAAGGTCAGGGCCATTTCACATCACTCCAGGATCTGAATACCCTGCAATCACCTTTTCGATATAATACTAAAAGAGAAACAAACGACAAATGTCTTACTGGCACACTGGAATATCATAATTGCCATAAAATAACTGTCATTTGAAACCACATTTTGCTGTTAGTGTAACAGCACAACTGCTCAAGGTTGCAAGGTAAATAATAGGGATGTAATAAGGCCAGTATTACTGGTAATTGTCTTTTTACATTTTGCTCACAACCAAAGTCCAATTATATGCAGCAAAATATCCAGCCACTTTTTATTACTCACTTAATCTTACACTTGACAAGTCAAATTGTCTGGTGTTGGACGGAGAAAAATAACAAAGTATGCCATATTTGATTATCCCATATTCCCATTACTGTAGTGTGACCACACAAGACTCCCTTGGATGGGTAAAATTGGGGGCTATGTAGATTTAATGGCAAAAAGTGGGGGAAACATTTTCTCCAGCCTGTAAAATTTATGGGGGCCATTGGAAATTTATGGGGGCCATTGGAATTTTATGGGGGCCATTGGAATCATCAACCAGAGTATTGAGGTGATAAAGAAAAGAATACCTGACTGTAAAATTAATGTAATAATTTTTGCATGTATTCATTTATTAACTTTTGACTACTGTAATGGTCAGCCAGTTAAATAAGTATCTTACTGAGGGTACTGCCTAACTATTTTACATGTCAAAGAGAACTCCAGTTATGAAAGATTGAATATTTTCTGAGCAAGCTGGAACAGAAAATTTTGATTTTAGTGAACTAAGTGAAGGATGGAGATAACCAAAAAATATATCCGGCATGAAGGAGGGTTTATTAAATATATCCAAAAGCGGAGATGAAGGAGTAATTAAATGAAGAAAACTAATTATACAAACAGACACGAATCTGCTGGAATTTAGGATATATAAACTGATAAATATTAAAAGATATGAGAATATATTAATTTTATATTGCATCATAAAATCGTTTACCTCGAATATACTGCATTCTTTATAACAACTGTAATTCAAAATCCATGTGACTTCAAAGTTTATAATTTCCATCAAAATAAAAACAAGCCTAAAATCTGCTGCCTGTTGTTTTAAAATATGAATTTTCAAACAATTGTTATACATTCATATTTTAAAAATCAATATGAATTTGAAACTTTTATAGTTCGTGCATTGCAATGTTCAGTTGTTCATCCCCCCCGGGATAACATGACCTAAATAAGGCCAGGTTACAAAAATGTCCAATATTTTTGGACACACGTGACCAGTGTTTACCAGGGCCTTTGCTTCCCGTACCAGAGCCTCTGAACCGCGCAAAGGCCCTGGGTACGAGGTTGATTTATGATCTGACCTACTCTACAACAAAATTGTACGTGTACTAGAAATGTGGGAGAGCAACATTGAATGGGGGGAGCGGGGGGAGGTGCAAAATGATTTTAAAACCCAAGTATATTAAAAAGTTGCGAATTTGTTTTGTCGTTCTACGAACTTTTGGCCAAGATTGTAGATACTGTTCCGAAATATCACTTACTCGAACCGTCCTGACCGCGTAGCTCAGTTGGAAGAGCATTGGGCTAGTATTCCAAAGGTCGTAGGTTCGAATCCCACTGTGGCCGGGCATATTTTTCAAGCTCGCCCGGTGTGGATATGCACTCAGAGTAACATCGCAAACATATTATTCACCTGAGTACACAACACCAACACAGAAAAAAAACTTTCAATTTCTTTCAAATTTATTAATTTTAATCTGCTTCTTTGGAATAAAACACCATTGAGGTCTTCTCAGAAGAGTGATAATTAATCAGGACTATGACTTTAATAAGGAAGTACATATTACACAAGCAGGGATGGTATGGTATATATTCTCACAAGACATTGCGTTTAAGCACTCACCATTAACATAAATAAGATCACTACAACCACGGCCTGCTACAACGCACCTGCTATTTTTTCTACCATCCTGAATCATTTGTCCTTTAACAAATCCCACAAGCGACATAATTTGTTTGCGGTGATATGAGTATAGTAATATTATGATCTTGTCCATATTAAAATTCACCATTTCCAAAACAATAAAGTTCATGACCAATTTCCTCATTTCTCATGTGTTAACTTATGGTATAATTCACCGATGTCTATCAGAAATTACCATTTGAAAGGTGTTGTCACGACTGTATTCATGATTCATCTCAGTCGCACTCAGAAACGTCGTCAAAAATATAGACACATTTCTTTACGATTGAGTTCATTTGAATGTAAAAGAGGTCCCCAACATTCTTGAACATGTGCTTTTGCTTAAAATACCATATTTGACTTGATTTGTAGGCCTATTGCGAGATAACAGAACAAAACAGTTGAAAATACTGCATTAATCACAATAGCTCACTCCTCAAGGTGGTCACAGTAAGATGGCGGCCGCGCGCGACTTCCGGCTTCAATTTCTGTATCTATAGTTGCGCTCTCCATGTATTTATAGCTCAGTGAACCAAACCAACTAGAATAACAGACCATTCTTCCACTTTAATTGATCATATTTACTCTAACACTACTATACAGAATACTATCTCTGGTATTGCCTTGATTGATATATTGGACCATCTGCCTATCTTTTGTATAAGTGGTATTTCAGCTAACAGAGTTAAGAAGACTCTCTACTTAAGAGATTACATTCATTTTGATGCAGTGCTTCCATTCTCAGATTTTGATTTTCTGTATATATGGAAAAGAAAATTTCCATATTTAAAATGAAATTTCTATAGATAGTGTGCCAAAATTTCCATAGAATTTTCTACAATTATTGTATTCTAATTCCTTATTAATAATGAGTATTTTTTAAACAACAAGAACAAAATAGGTAATTTTTATGGTTTTAAACTTTAATGATGCTATAAACTATATAAGGTATTAAGGCACATCATATAATTGTTTTACTAGTTAAGTTTTAACATTTTTCAGTTCTTCAAAAACTCAGCTCTTAGTTTCCCTGCATCTTCATCTTTTGCACTGGATTTCATTCGCTTATGTAGGTCAAGCATTTCACTTGAAGTATCCATCATAACAGCCTGTCGTTTTCCTTTCTTCAGGAAGGAATACTTGGTGGAAAGTAATGCCAATAAACTTTCTTGCTTAAGTGATGCCCTATGATCACTCTTGAAAAGTTTCAATTGGCTGAAAACACGCTCAACAGCAGCATTTCAAAATGGCAAGGATAACACAGTGGCTACTAGTTTCGTTAAATTGGGATAAATCTTTTCTCCAACTTGATTTTTCTCCTTAAAAACAACTGTCCAATATTCCAGAAAACTCATTTCTCCATTCAAGTTGGGGCACAGTGCATGTTGCCTGCCATTCATTATCAGCTTCTTGCAAGTCTGCAACATCGTTAAGCTGTGGCAATTGTCTATAGACTTGCAACAAAGATACTGGAGACAGTGCATAAGCAGAAACAGGTGTGAGGAATGATAAGAAGTCAAACTTATCACAATCATTGAATCGTGATAAAACTTCACAGCTTCAATCTGAAAGTTTCTATAACGAGTAAAAAATAGCTGGATACCAGGATGATCCACACCAAGATCATCTTTAATAGTTTGCATGGTGTCTGTTGCACAAGGTCCCACATAAACATGGTTCAGTGGGACATAATGCTCTTGGTCATTAATATCAATAAGCCATGGATCAGCTTGTCGTATAAATGATACCTATGTGATAAAAAATTTAACAGTTAAAGTGATAAAAATTGACTGGTGACTTGCCCTCCCTATTCAATAATATATTTTAAGTAATTGAAACATCATTATTATTAATATGTACCTTCATGAAATCTGATAATAATGAAGTCAGCAGAGCTTTTAATTCACTTTCCAGCAAGTAGAGGACAGGAATTCCACTTTGGAACAAGGTATTAAAAGAAACAAATCTTCCAAGGTTAAAGGCCATAAACTGAAGATATGCCAGGGTAAATTTGTTGTTGAGACTCTTCAGAATGTTATCATTGGTATGTGTAGGATCTTCAAGTGCTGCTCCTGTGAAATATAGCTTCTAGGCTTCATATTGTTCGATAATCCTATCAACACACATCTTCATTGACAACCACCTGGTTTGTCCAGCATTCGGAAGCTGATGTTTTTCAATATCAAAGAACTCTTGAAATTCCTGAAAATTCTTTGTTCGTAGTGGAGATAAGTGAAAATATGAAGCTATATTTCGACACACATCTTCTAAAGACTTTGGAAGCAGACTTTGGAGTCTGTCCATGTTTGATTGCACAGGTTTCCATTTTCACAGTAAGAACTTACGATATCTTAACCAATAACTGTGAGAAGTGTACAATCAATCCGAATTTTTACGGGTGGAGTACAGAGCAGAAATATACACGTCTGCTCATCAAGTCGTTTATGACAATTATTTCTTAGCCAAAGTAAATCATTTGATGCGTATAATCAATTCTTTTCGAGGGTAATGATTTGTCAGGTTGTGTTATCTTAGCCTTTCTCTGTGTCCTAAACTTAAAGGCCTTATGCAACGAATTTTTCGATGGTGCGAAAATGGCCATAAAACTTAATTGAGGAATCCATATTTTGCGGGGAAATTCACAGTGGTCAGAGCACTTGAACATTTAGGGTTTCCATGGCAACATGTTACATGACATTTTTGGTGATTTTAAAATAAAATATGTGACTAACTTTCAATAGTGTTGCGGGTCTCGGAAAATCGTAATAAAGGTTCCGTTTTTGTTCACGTTGAATACTTAATGTCTTAAGTTTACGTTTCTAACTTCTGATCATGGATAAGATTTGTTATTAACTCATTAACTGGCAATGCGCCCGGATGCACCCTGAGATTGGCAAGTGAGTAACTGGCAATGCGCCCGCATACGCCCTCAAATGACACCTCAACTTACGGGCATGATATTTGAGCACGTGTTTATCGGGTTGCCTAGCAACGGATACGAAAATAGAACGCAAAATTCGAGCTTTTCAACGGTGTATCATGCAAGAAAATCGGCCAAAAACTCACGCAAAGAAGGATTTCACGGCAAGTTTTCAAAGAGAAAAAAGAAGACGTTTTTGAATGATTTACAACGAAAATTTGGCATGAAATGAAAGCGAATGTATTGACGTTTTGGGCCAAGTTTCTTCTGTGAACCATGCACAAGATTTTCAGCCAAAAAGATGAGAATTTCTCCAAACTTTATTAAAAATAGAAGTCGGAAATCACAAGAAAGATGAACACGGAACTGAAGTGAGCAGATACGATTTTTTAAAGGGTATAATATGCGATCAAACACTCACAAAATTCGACCGCATTAATGTTGGTTGAATCTAGTTTAAAGTTATCTTTTTAGACGAACAGTTTATGCAAATTTGGGCGCAACTTTGACTGTTTTCGTGACCCCATTGTTGGTCTTCTTGTTCAAGTTGTTATTTTAGCTAAAGTATATTTCAAACGACACTTACTGTGTGCGTACGTGATCTTTTTTACCTTTTTGGCAAGAATACTTCAGTACTAAATTACACTAAATAAGTAGGATATTCCAAAATCACTGTTATATCTATTTTCATCAATTTAGTGTTAAAATGACAACTTGTTTCAGACATATTGTGGTTTAAAATAAGTGTATTGAATAAACGTGCTTGCTTGCCGCGTGCGAATATTCAAAAAGTCCATATATGTCCAATATAGCCATCGGTTGTCAGGTGGTGAAGATGGTGTAAGATGGTGTCAGATGCTTTGTTTGTCAGATGCTTGTAGTGTGGTGTCGGATGGTGTAGGATGGTTCAACTAAACAGCTGTTGTCAGGTGGTGAAGATGGTGTACGATGGTTTAATGGGATTTTCACCAGTATTATTATAGTGTTGCCTCGTTTTTCAGTAAAACCACGTAGGCTATATCAATAAAAACCTACAAGGCCAGAATCCACAAATGGCAAACGATTATGGCTAATTGTCCCTACAATTGTGCATATATAGTGTTGCCTCGTTCTTTCAAAAACACGCTTCGTATACGCTAAACTGCAGTAACAAGCACGTCAAAGCCTCCGCACAATTGTGCATATATATAGTGTTGCCTCCTATGGCTAATTGTCCCTAAACAAATGTGCATATATAGTGTTGCCTCGTTCTTTCAAAAACATGCTTCGTATATACTAAACTGCAGTAACAAGTGCGTCAAGGCCTCCGCACAATTGTGCATATATATGGTGTTGCCTCCTATGGCTAATTGTCCCTACAATTGTGCATATATAGTGTTGCCTCGTTCTTTCAAAAACACGCTTCGTATACGCTAAACTGCAGTAACAAGCACGTCAAAGCCTCCGCACAATTGTGCATATATATAGTGTTGCCTCCTATGGCTAATTGTCCCTAAACAAATGTGCATATATAGTGTTGCCTCGTTCTTTCAAAAACATGCTTCGTATATACTAAACTGCAGTAACAAGTGCGTCAAGGCCTCCGCACAATTGTGCATATATATGGTGTTGCCTCCTATGGCTAATTGTCCCTACAATTGTGCATATATAGTGTTGCCTCGTTCTTTCAAAAACACGCTTCATATATACTAAACTGCAGTAACAAACGCTTGAATGCATCAGGCTATACAGTCTTGGACAACGTCAAAAATTGTGCATTTACTTTTCATATATGTTATACATGCGGGCAGCAAACTATAAATTATAACAGTTATAACATGCACTAGCGGGAACTGAGTTAGTACAGCTGATCTCAGCTTCATGGCTGTATTTATAACACAGCCATGCAATGTCAATGACAAGTACATAAGCCAGCAGGGTTCTTGTGCGCACTTTATATAACTGAATGTAGCAATTCATTGCATTATTAGCTTTTACTCCTTCAAATTCGGTTGGTAAACTACAATGACAAATATAAAACAGCAGGGTTCTTTCGCACACATGTCATTATTGTGCGTAATCTTTGCAGAGTTTTCAAACGAATCTTAACTCCCAATTACAAAATGCAAAGTTCAATATACAATACAAAATATATTTCAAAATCAAACTTCTCGAAAATATAATAAAAATGTTTTACACGTAAAGTGTGGCTATACTAAGCACGGAACTGGGAGTTTACATGCATGCATGGACTGTAATAAGAGCCTGCGGAGTGCGTTGCGGTGCAGCCGATGCGCTCAGTTATATGCGACGACTAAAAACTAAACAAACATAATGACGAATATATTTCACTAACGCACGCAAGTATAATTATTATTATTATTACAATATTGCCTGCTCCCGAAAGGGCTTTTCAGCAGGTAATTACAAATCTAATCTAATTCCTAATTTACTTTAAACCGTTAAGAACTGTCAGCAAAGACAGCAATACAATGTATTATACTCATTTTGTAATTTAGTTGCATCGTTTTCAAACCGTCATAACTGCCAGGAAAGACAGCAATACATTATATTTTGTAATTTACGTCGTCAAGGGCAATACAAGCTTATGGGACTGTCTAGATGCCTAAAGGATTCTATGCGCAATTGTACCATATTTACTCTAGGCACCTATATATTATAGACCTGTATAGACGTTTTTCGTATATGCTTTTAGTATACGTCGTCAAGGACAATGTCCCATTGACATTTACTAATTGATTGTCCATGTTTAGCCGCCAGTGCTGCTAGCAACTAGGGCATCCTGTTATCAATGTGATATTTCCGATTTCCAGTTGTTCATATCCCAGAAACTATTCATGCAGCACTGCAGCTGTGCTTATTTGGAACTTTCAATCATTCAACAAACGCACTTACGCACGATTTCATCTTCAAGCAATTTTATACCATCCTATTTAATGGAAGAATTCAAACATTTTGTCCTAACTTGTACAGCGGATGAAATTTCGAGGAAGAGACGTGCTTTGTTTCAGGATATCAACAGCGATATTTTCTAGGAAACCGATACGAGATGACGATACTTTCCAGTTGCTTCTCTTCCTGGTAGAAAACGGCTTGTCCACCAGATTTATCAACAGAATGGATCCTCACCTCCACATATTGGGACAAGACAAAGACAAATTCCAGGTTCATTCAAACACGTTGGATCCTCGCTAATGCTGCACAACATTCCAAAATTTGGTTTTACTTCGACATGCATTTAAACAAATATGTTTATTTGGATGGCACAGATAGACTTTTGCATAGTTGACATTACTATATATAGAAAAAAATATATAACTATTTCCATTATATAATACATGCACAATTGTAACTTTGAAGTGTCCCTTATTAACAATGTCATTCATATGTACACACACATCCTTTCTCCGTTTTTATTGGCCACTGGCTTTCTTCCTAATTGAATTTATGAGGCTTTACACTATAAAACTTGTCTCGCAATTTTGTTGTGACACAATGAGGTGTGACACAAATCGCCACAAACACATGCTTGCCAATATTCAATAGTCAAGTCTCCCAACATTTTTGGTGCAAGTAAATGTGCGAGTATGACTTTTCGCCCCAACGATTAATTGCGGTCGAGCATGCACTCATTTTTTGAAATTACTTAATCCAATTTCTCTCCAAATGGTTCTGTTGTTCAGCAAATAAAACTTATAAAAGCTGGCTTTTTGCCCACAATTGCGAGACAATTATAATCATGAGAGGGCTACATAATTTGATTTTAATAACGATACCATTGTCATGCAGACAAGTTGCATAGTGTGATGGCAACTTTACAAGCACGATACCTCTAATTAATGAATTACAAACTAAATAAATGAAACTAAACGACTACTTCTATAATGGCACCATTTTATTAAAACATCATCTATAGTTAGTAACCAGAGCCATGAGGATTCCCAACGAGTTATGATTCGAGTCACTCATTTTACTGGAATTGCTCCCCAATACAGCCATGCATTTTCGATTCATTTTTGGTGACTGGTGTTTTACAATTATATAATCATTTATGAAATCGATATATGAAGCTAGATCAACTCCTCCACTCTTCAGAAGCATTAAATTTCCTTAAAATGTCCTGAAACCATGGCCAAATGCATTTATATTTTTTATATAATTTGAAAGCACTGTATGCATGCATCTTGGACATTTTGAACTTAATAATATAACACTTGTCAAAAATCTTGTTCGCGGGTGCGAGGTATTCTCCCCACCTAAAAAGTTCCATAGATAAGTTCCACTCCCCATGAATATCAAATTTACAAATAACACTACAAATGCATGGATCCACGGTTAATACGGAAATGAGATCAGATTAACATCATGCGAAAATTATAATAAT